TCGCCCGCCAGACCCAAAGCTAATCACACTATTGAAGGGGCCCTCCATATGCTTCCAGCAATGGCGGGGAAGCCGCTTCTCCCCACACTGCCAAGCTCCGTGCAGCCCGAGGGAGAGGTGTCGGTTTCTCATCTCTTCCCTCCTACAGTACCTTAAAACCTTTTCCTGGAGGAAAGGTTATCCCATGGAAAGTTTGGTTGCAGTAGGTCTTATAGTGTCCAAGTTATTAGAGCACAAACATTCAAACATTCTCCTTTACATATTAGATTATTACCCCTTCCCGTGCTAATTAGCATTTCTAATTCACCAGTCTTGTGATGCACTAATATTTGACAAATATTACTACAGTGTGCTAATCCAAACTCTATGGAAACCACCACAGCTGACTGGATATAAACAAGAGTTAAGTTGATATCCTCTCTATGTAAATGTCTCATTTAAAGCCTTTCACCAGAGAGTTCTGTGGTTCAAGAATAAGAGCATATCCCATAATAACTTTAGAAAATAAAAGTGTAATGATTTATTGTAAAATGATTCACTTAATCTGTGTTGCAATTTAGAGATAAGAAAGTACCTGATGTAAAACATAGGAGCTAGAACTGCTCATGCAAGTCCCAAGAAGATACTCTTATCTGATATGATGTAATTCAAATGGTATGCATTTTATAATGTAAATGTGGTTCAAAGAAGAATTCAAATATATTTATATTTAATTACGCTGTCAGGCAAAACTGTAAAATCTGAACATCAGACTTGCATATTGCCACAAGTCTAGGTTCCATTTGGTTCTGAACAACAAAACACCATTAATGACCTCAAACTTTTATAGTGAGCTAACTAAAATAAAGTTTTTGATAAAGAATGCATGCTTGACTCCTGAAGTCACTCACTAGGAAAGAAATGTTGGCTTTTAGCTGTTTATAACCCATAGCAGAAAACTAACCAGAGTACACTATTAACTAAGCCTTGGTATTGAACAAAAGATAATTGTGGTGACATGAGGCATGTCTGAGTGGGAAGCAAGTTCTGCAATAAGTAAAATAAAGATTCCATTTATCATGAAGAAATATTTTCAACGCAGGCCCTTGATACCCAGATACTGGGTTTCATATCTGTCCAGGTGCACAGCAACTGGGAATATTTTAGCTTATATAGGGGCAGTACCAGAGGATAGCAGATCTAGAAAATAACTGTATCAGGTTGGGGAAATCTCATTAAAAAAGTCATTAAAGCCTCAGAGAGCTTCTTCGAATAATCTGATTGTATCTAGTAATAATTAGTCATAGACACATAGTCTACATAATTATGACATCAAGAACTGACTAATATGGAAGAGATATTACATACAGATGAAGAGCTAACTTTTGTTGAAATTTGCTTTCAGAAAGATGTACATGATAACCTTTTGTGTAACTTTAGAAACAAAATTAACATTGGATTCATCCTGTATAAATATGTTCCTTTGTTTTTGCAGTTCAATCCATTCCTATATGATATACCCTGGAAATAATGTCATTTGATTGTCTGACAATGTGAAGAATTGCTTGCTTTGAAGCTGCTTCATTTCCTTCTTATTTGATCCCATGAATCAACACTGATTTTAATTCTCAGCCTAACAACTGAATTTAAAAAACAGAATCTTCTTCCATCTGATTTTAATTAAAACATATTGATGCTGCTATGGAGTTCTCTTTTTAAAAATGTACTTATGACTATTCACCGCCTGATTTGTTTTGCAACAAATACATTAATTTCTAATTTTTCCAATGGAAACTAGATTCGGTCTGACACTTCCGGATTCAGTATACTCCTGACTAGTACAGGCAGTCCCCGGGTTACGTACAAGATAGGGACTTTAGGTTTGTTCTTAAGTTGAATCTGTATGTAAGTCGGAACTGGCGTCAGCCACTGCTGAAACTGATCAGTTTCAACCATGGATGAATCTGGACGCCAGTTCTGACTTACATACGGATTCAACTTAAGAAACCCAGGCGTCCCCAAGTCAGCTGCTGCTGAAACTGATCAGCGGCTGATTCCAGGAAGCCTGGGGCAGAGCAACTCTGCCTCGGGCTTCCTGTAGGTATGTAAGTCGGAACTGGCGTCAGCCACTGCTGAAACTGATCAGTTTCAACCATGGATGAATCTGGACGCCAGTTCTGACTTACATACGGATTCAACTTAAGAAACCCAGGCGTCCCCAAGTCAGCTGCTGCTGAAACTGATCAGCGGCTGATTCCAGGAAGCCTGGGGCAGAGCAACTCTGCCTCGGGCTTCCTGTAGTCAGCTGCTGGTCA